AGACTACAAGGACAACAACAACACAAAGGATAAAGACAAGACCGATGGCAACACATGCCCTTGTGACTACACACGTCACAAGAAAGAGAACTCACAACAACGGCTACACAAGCCCTCGTGACATCACCCATCACGAGTTGATATGCCATCCTTATGCCCTGTTCCAACCTTATGGCTACCCCCAACCTTATATCTTCTTCCAACCATTACCTCCAGGACCCCTGTACAACCAAGTCCAACCTTATTCCCCCGGGACCGTCGTCCCCCACCAACGAGACCACCAATTCATAGTACACAAGGTACCGTACACACACGGCAACACATGCCCGGATAACACATGTTATCCCCCATAAACACGTGAACCTTACACAAAGGCCACAACTCCATAATCACGTCACGGCCACCACGAGGACCGCTGCAATACCTTGGTGACTAGTGTCCCATACCACTAATCATGCAATCCAGGTAAAGTCACACACGCATCACACCACAACAGGAATCAATCAACGGATCACAACGAAGATATGAAACCATACTCAATCAAGGAATGGGTCAAAGCCCAACAACAACGATGAATAACACAAGTTATCATCAACCAAACGGAAGGTACAAACAACACACACGCTAGCATTTAAACATCGAACTAGCACGCTTATCAATCGGGTAAACCAAAGATAGTTTTGAGGAACACACAAGACACATCACGGTTCAACGAAACACAATGTTGAACACTTAGCACGATTCAAGACACCAAAGTCCTACATGGATACCTACCATATAGTTCTAGACATACGAAACATCAAGAAGACACTCAAATAGTTCTACAAAAGAACAACGGGAAGTCAAAAGACCAAATATCGAGCCAATAGAATCACGGGGAACAAATCCCGAACAACCAACATCACGTACCCGCGGGTGGGCCCACGGGTAGGCCCCTACCAGTGGTCCTGCCCGCGGGTACATGCCTTCACTGACATTGTACCCCGCAGGTGGGCGGCGGGTGGGCCTCCTTCCCGCCGTTCCGCCCGCGGGTACCACCTGTACCACCAAAACACACTTCGCGGATTTTTGTCTCCAAACTCAAATTCAAGTCCAAGACATGCCAAATCTCACCAAACACAACAAAATGACTTGAATCAAAGGAAATGCCAAGCAATGGCACACAAGAACCCTAAACACAAGCTCTAGATATGCATTTTCACAAGAACATGCATAAACACTCACATTTCATAGCAAAACACATGTAGAATCCAAGAAATCACATATAAGTAAGCAAAATAGGTTTTGTAGAGCATGGGTTACCTCTTGTAGACTAAAAGACTTCACTTTACACCTCAACAAGCTCCTCACTAGGCTCCCCTTCCAAACTCACTTCAAGAACAAACCAAAAGATCATAAAGATCCTACTTTTAAGAAAAAGACATCTAAGATGGAACCAAAAACACAAGATAGACTTAGATCTTACCCTCGTAGATGCCCAAATAGGTGAAAGGTTGAATCTTGGAAGCAAATCTTGAAGTCTTGACAAGGTCTCAACTTAGCTTGAAGGAAAATCTACTCACCTTTCTAGAGAGAAGGTAGAGCTAATATTTTAGAAAGTGTAAGGGGTGAAATGAAGATGTCTTCTAGGTTAGGTTACAATACTAACACTTGGTGAAAGGTCAAGAATACCCTTACTAACTTTAGAAAGTGTAAGGAACAAGGGAACTCCTTACAAAGATCAAGGTACAACTTGACTTTGGGGTTGACTAGTCAATTATTAGTCCCCCAACTATTGAATTTCAGGAATTTAAGGAATTAAATTACAAATTGAAATAGGATTAATTACTCAATTAATCCCTTAATTGGATTTGGATTTCGGGATGTCACATCCTCTCCCCCTTCAAAGAAGCTTCGTCCCCGAAGCTTGAGTACGACGAATTAGAACAAACGGTGATAGGAAACAACATTGTGACAAGAGGTTCAAGAACAAACTCTTTTGGTCAAAGACTCCAAAAGAACTCACAAGGATTCCAAAGCAAAGAAGTATTCCAAAGCAAGAAAGAAGGCATTTTAAATTCAAGGATTAGCAAGAGTTTAACAAATGGATAGATTGAGCATCAAGAACTCTAGCCTCAACACAACCACTGACTTCTAGACAACAACCAAGAACTAGACAACTAACTCCAAACACCAACTACTAAGCTAGCTAAACAACAAGGCAACAAGCAAAAACAAGCAAGCACACAAAGCAAGCAACAACCTACCACCAAACTAACAACGGCTAAGAAGGAAACAACAAGGAAAAAGGCGAACGGGATTACCACAACACAAGCTAGAACTCCTCACTCTCTGACTCCTCGGCCTCCTCAGACTCCTCTTCGTCTTCGTCTCTGCAGCTCGAACTGGCTTCAATCTGATCCAGCCTCTGATGCACTGCGACAAACTGCGCCTTCATAAACGCGAAGCCTTCTGCGATCATGTTGTTCTGCTGACGAATCAAGGTGACAACGCGCTCCTCATGCGCCATGACGTCATGCTCCCTTTTCGTGCGAGCTTCTTTCCTTCTCCGGTTTTCCTCACTGTTCGAATCACTTTCTTCAGCTTTGGCAGCCTCCGGTGCTCCCACTTCTTCTTCTTGGTCTGCTTCCTCCTCAACTTCTTCGTCACCGCCCAAACTCTGGACTGCGAGGCTCAACTTCCCGGCATGAATCCCAAGCTCCGTTGCCAACTCTGCCCTTTCTCCTGGTGCTTTCCTTGCCACTTCTTCCAACGTGATGTAATCACCATCATATAGCTGAAACAGATTACAACTCCGAAGATTAGTGGCATCCAACACCATCTTTCCCACGGCCTTCGGAAGACAACCATCCACGCTTACACCTTTTCTAACCAAAGTCCAGCTCAACACCATCCCATACGGTAGGCTTTTCCGGTTATGATCCCGACAAAAAACCATATGCTGTAACATCAAAGCTGGCAAGTTGAACTTAACCATGTTCTTGAGGCAAAAGGTAAAGGTGCACTCCAACTTACCTAACAAACTGCTTTTGTTATTATTAGGCAACAAACAATCCGATACCAACATAACCAAGATCCTCTGTTCCGCAGACAATCACTTTTTCTCCGGCCTTGAAGCTTGAGTGAAACCACTCGTACGGCCCAACAGATAACTCAAATAGTCCCGGTACCCCATGGTATCCGTACTAATCCAAGAATGACCACTGTACTGAGCAACTCCTAAAGCAGTCAAACTCAAAAGCTGAGCCAACCTCTTTTCAGATAACACAACCTTCACATCTCTCACTTTAGAAGTGATCTCAAGCTTATCACCCTCCTTTGTCACAACCATGTGACGATAAAATTCCTTAACCAAACTCGGGTAAGTCTCGGCCCTTATGGCGAGAAACCCATCCAACAAACCTTGAAATCTAAGCATATCCAACAAGGAATTAGGAAAAGATTCCGGATCAAAAGCTTTACCTTCAAGAACGAGGTAATGGGCATCCACCCATTCAGCTTTTCTTGCCAAACTTGACCTTCTAGGCATGATTGAAGATGACCCAAAGCTCAACAAAAAGGACCCAAGACTCTTTCTCCTCTTTTTCTTCTTCTTCTTTCTCTCTTCTCAATGCTTTCCCTCGCGACCTCCGGCGATCGACCTGCTCGGCGGCAGCAGCTCGGCTCGGCGGCGGCGGTCCGGTGGCGGGTTGCTGGTGGCGACGGGTTGGGGGAGGGGTGGTCTCGGCTGAACACACGGGTAGAGAGAGGGGAGGGAGAAAGGAAAATAAATTGGGGTTTAGGGATTTGGGGAAAGAATTGGGGAAAAGATGATTTAATTTGGGGATTTGGGTAAAGATGAAGATTTATGGTCCAAATGGAATTAAAATTGAGTAAGTTCCAAGGAAGACAATTAGCTCAAGTGGTTTAGACGTTGGGTTAGCAAAGAATGGGTTCGGGGTTAAAACTCAAAGACTACAATTAAACATTTTGGCTTGACTTTTAAGCTACACAAGAGAGACTTTTTGGTATGGATTTCCTAATTTCAATTCCAAAGAATACTTGGAAAATTTAAAGGATTCACAAAAGAATAGCTAACTTTCACAACGAAACTTATATACCAAACTAAAGAAGCAAGAAGAGCTTACACCTAACTCCAAGAGAATCATTACCAAAGAAAAGCTTGCCTAGGATTGCCAAGTAACTCAAATAGACAACAACGAAACACAAAGTAACACTCAAGACAATAAGGAACACGATATTTGCGAAAAAAAACAAGGATGGAGTGGCGCTTGAGGCTTGGTCATGTTGGCTACTCCAAGCTAGATATGATGATGAGGAAGTCAATGCTGAGGGGACTCCCTCAACTTGAAGTGAGGAGTGGCGCTATCTGTGCAGGATGTCAGTATGGCAAAGCACACCAACTGCCTTATGAAGAGTCCAAATACCAAGCAAAGGAGTTGTTAGAGTTGGTTCACTCTAATGTGTTTGGGCCAGTCAAGCAGTCTTCCATTGGCAGATTGAAGTACATGGTCACTTTCATTGACGATTTTTCCAGATATGTGTGGGTTTATTTTATGAAGGAAAAGTTAGAGGTTTTGTCAAAATTTAAATTTTTTAAAAATGAAGTAGAAATAGAAGTTGGCAAGACCATTTTCTGCTTGCGCACAGACAATGGGGGAGAGTACACCTCAGATGAATTCTCAATTTTTCTTCAAGGCTTTAGAATACGCCATCAGTTCACATGTTCAGGCACACCGCAGCAGAATGGCATGGCAGAGAGGAAAAATAGACACTTAGCAGAGGTATGTCGTAGTATGTTGCATGCTAAGAGTGTTCCTGGGCGTTTTTGGGCTGAGGCGATGAGGACTGCAGCTTTTGTGATTAATAGACTTCCCCAATAGAGGTTAAGTTTCCTTTCACCATTTGAAAGGCTTCATAACATGAAACCTTCTATTAGTTACCTTCGAGTTTTTGGTTGTGTGTGCTATGTGTTTGTGCCTGATCATTTGCGAAGCAAGATGGAAAAGAAGACTGTCAAATGTATTTTTGTTGGGTATGACAATCAAAGAAAAGGGTGGCGTTGCTGTGATCCTACAATAGAGAAGTGTTATACGTCTCGTAATGTAGTAGTTGATGAAGCTTCATCGTGGTGGTCCTCTGGTGAACGAGTCTTGACAAATTCTAACTCCTCTAAAGACGTACTGGAGTCTTCCCCAGTGCAATTGGGTCTAGGAGGGAATGAGAGTGCAGACGAAAGTGAAGATGGTGAAGTCGTGGCAACTCAAGATCAAGCTAGCGAATACCAGCAACAAAGTGAAAATGGGGATTCCAATAGAGTGAGTACACCACTTCCGCTAAGAAGGTCCACAAGAGTTAGAAAGCCAAATCCCAAGTATGTTAATGCTGCTGTTATAGAAGCAGTTAAAGAGCCAGAGACTTTTGAGGAGGCGTTTCAAAAGTTGGAGTGGATTAATGCCATGGAAGAAGAGGTTATTGCGTTAGAGCAGAACCAGACATGGGAGCTCATTCCGAAGCCGAAAGATGTTAAACCTATTTCGTATAAATGGGTTTACAAGGTGAAGCGCAATGCAGACGGTTCAATTAAGAGATTTAAGGCTCGTCTAGTAGCCCGAGGATTTTCTCAACAGTATGAGCTGGACTACGATGAAGTTTTTAGTCCGGTAGCAAAGCTTGTTACTGTTCGAGTGTTACTTGCACTTGCAGCAAATAAAGATTGGGACCTTTAGCAGATGGATGTGAAAAATGCATTTTTGCATGGAGAACTAGATCGTGATATATATATATATATATATATATATATATATATATATATATATATATATATATATATATATAGAATTACATTCAGGTAAAAACACATCTTAAAATACAAACATGTGGACAATTTGACGCCGTTGGATGGTGGTATTGGACGGTCCTGATTTTTTCCTCCTACGCGTTGTGTGCATGTAAGTATGTTAATGTGTGCATGAGCTTTGATGGATGGTTGTAATTTTTCCTCCTACGCGATGTGTGCATGTAAGTATGTTAATGTGTGCACGTGCTAATCCCAAAAATTGTTGGCAGTACGCCATGTGTGCATGTAAGTATGTTAATGTGTGCACGAGCTCAAGTTTGTATTTTAAGGGGAGTTTGTATTTTAAAGGGGTTTGTATTTGAATGCAACCCTATATATATATATATATATATATATATATATATATATATATATATATATATATATATATATATATATATATATATATATATATATATATATGTGTGTGTGTGTGTGTGTGTGTGTGTGTGTGTGTGTGTGTGTGTGTGTGTCAGCCTATGGGTTTTCAAAGTCAAGTTCATCCTGACTATGTGTGTAAGCTTCGGAAGGCTCTTTGCTGTTTAAAGCAAGCTCCTAGGGCTTGGTATGGCAAGATTGCAGAGTTTCTTATTTGCAATGATTATTCGGTGGCACCGTCGGATTCCAGCTTGTTTGTCAAAGCTAAAGGACGTAAGCTAGCCATTGTGCTAGTATACGTGGATGATTTAGTTTTAACTTGTGATGATGTTGAAGAGGTTCTCAGAACGAAGGAAAATTTGTCAGTACGCTTTAAAATGAAAGAACTGGGGTATCTTAATCATTTTCTTGGTTTAGAAATTGTTCGCAGTGGAGAGGGAATATTTATGCATCAACATAAATATTCTAGAGATCTGCTAAATAGGTTTGGCATGTATGATGGCAAACCGATATCAGTGCCGATGGAGTTGAATGCGAAGCTCTGCGCACATGAAGGGAAAAGTTTGGAGGATGCCACGGTGTACAGGCAGTTAGTGGGTAGTATGATTTATCTTACCTTAACAAGGCCTGACTTGTCCTTTGCAGTTGGCGTGATGAGTCGATACATGCAAAGTCCAAAGAAACCTCATTTGGAAGCTGCTCGGAGAATCTTAAGATATGTTAAGGGCACTCTTGGTCAGGGTGTTATGTACAAGAGAAGTGGAGGTAACACCTTAGCTGGCTACAGTGATGCAGATTATGTAGGAGATTGTGGAACTCGGCGTTCAACAACTGGCTATGTGTTTATGCTTGGGTGTGGAGCGGTTTCTTGGTGTAGCAAAAGACAACCAACAGTGTCTTTGTCGACAACAAAAGCAGAGTACCGAGCAGCAGCGATGGCGACGCAAGAGAGCACTTGGTTGGTGCAGTTCCTAAGAGATTTGCATCAATCAACTGAGTATTCAATTCCCTTGTACTGTGACAACTTGTCAGCAGTATGTTTGGCAGAAAATCCAGTGTTTCATGCTAGAAGTAAGCATATTGAAGTGCACTACCATTTTATCAAGGAGAAAGTTCTCAAGGGAGAAGTACAAATGATCCATTTTAGAACTGATGAACAAGTTTCTGATATGTTTACAAAAAGTTTGAGCTGTAGCAAGCTTGATTACTTTGGCAAGAAACTTGGTATTACAAGGAATAAGATAGTTGGTGTTGAAGGGTAGTGTTAAACATTACAACACCAATAATCAGCTTGACCGATTCCGACGTTACGTGGAGCTAATTTCGGATCATGCAGTAGTCGATATAGATTGTGCAGTAGTGCTTTGAATTATGGTTTATTTTTATTTTCTTTCAGTTAGTTTCTGTAGCCTATATATAGGCCAACTTTCAATGGTATTTATTGTCTAAGATATAATACATTTCATCTTCTTCCTTTCAACTCCTGTGAGTGCTTTTGCTTTTTTCTACCATTCCACTTCTTTATTCTACATCTTCAACGCTCCCTGTATGGTCTAAAGCAGGAACCTCGAGCCTGGTTTAAACGCCTTCATGATTTCCTTCTGTCTGCAGGTTTCACTGCCTCTAAAACTGATGTCTCATTGTTCCACTATTGGTGTATGTGGACGACATCATCATGATGGGAGATGATCAGACCTTGCTTGACACGTTGCTTCAACGGTTATCTACGGCATTCAAGATTCAGGACCTTGGCACGCCAAGCTTCTTCCTCGGGATTGAAACCCTATCCATCGATGGTGCCCTAGTCCTATCCCAGCGTCGCTATATGGGAGACATCTTAAATCGGGCCGGTATGACTGACTGTAAGCCCCTCACCACCCCGGCCGCTGTGACTCAAGCTGTTGCACCTAATAATGAGCTCTACGACAACCCCACACAGTACCGCCGCCTTGCCGGCGCTCTTCAGTATTTAACAATCACACGCCCAGATCTCTCATACTCTGTCAATTGCCTGCGTCAGTTTATGCACTCCCCAATCATTGAACACTGGGTCTTCTACAGCGAGTCCTACGGTATGTTAAACGGACGTTGTCCTATGGTCTCCGTTTGCAGTCCTCTGCATCCACGGACATTCATGCGTTCTCCGACTCGGACTGGGCCGGGTGTCTAGTAGACCGGAAGTCCACAAGTGGGTATGCTGTGTTTCTAGGCACAAACTTGGTCTCGTGGGTGTCCCGAAAACAACGGACCGTGGCCCGATCTTCCACTGAAGGAGAAGACAAGGGGTTGGCAGATGTTTCAGCTGAAGTCACTTGGGTTATTTCGCTGTTGCGTGAACTTGGTCTACACTCAGGACGGCCTGCGATGCTTTGGTGTGACAATCTTGGGGCTACCTACCTCTGTGCTAATCCCGTTTTTTATGCCCGGACTAAGCACGTGGAGATTGATTTTCACTTTGTTCGTGATAGGTTGCCTCGGGGGAGTTTCAGGTCAACTTCGTTTCCACGAAAGATCAACTAGCGGACATCTTTACGAAACCCCTCCCGTCATCACGTTTTGGACTGCTGCGCGGCAAGCTCAATGTTGTCTTCATCCCACCTTAAGCTTGAGGGGGTGTGTTAGATATATTAGGAATGTACATGATTGTAGCAATTGTGATTTGATTGTGAGTGATTAGGGTGATTGTAAATTGATTATAAGTAGTCTTTCCATTCTAGTAGTCTAGGGTGTTGTTATATTATAATCCTGTAACATCTTATTCAATAGTAATACAAACACTCATTCTGCCCTCTCCCTTTAGGCTATGTTTGGAAACCCGGAAAATGACTTCTGGAAGTCATTTTCCGAGTTTTTGGTGTTTGGCTACACCTGGAAAATCCAGTCAACGGAAAACATTTTCCGTTGACTGGGGAAAATGAGCCCAATTTAGCGGAAAATGACTTCCGCCCAAATTCTCTTTCGTTATTTTTTTTTTTTTTTTTAAATCTGGCGGAACCCAAGCCGGAAACCATGGCTATGGTTTCCGGCGAACCCAACTGGGTTCCGCCGGAAGCCAATTTTTTTTTTTTTTTTTTTTTTGTTTTAAAAATATAAAATGAATTTTTAATTCAAAATAAAATATTTAATTATACTATTCTACTCATTTTTCAGAAAATGAACCAAACACACCAAAACAGTTTTCCAAATGCAACCAAACACTGGAAAAGGAAAATGTTTTCTGGAAAATGACTCATTTTCCAGAAACCATTTTCCAGAAGTCATTTTCCTGCTTTCCAAACGGACCCTTATTTCTATTGTATTATCCTTCTATATTCTAATCTTTCTTTTGTTTTCTTATTAAAAGCCCACTTTAACTCGAACAAAAATCTATCAATACTATTAACGTATCAGATTCCTACTCATAAAATAGCATACAATTAATTTTGTACATCATTGAGACACATCTAATGATTTAATTTATTTATCAAGATATTTACCCAAAATGATAAAGGTCTGTAACATAGTTTGCTTATCAGTCAATTTTGGCTTATTTGATCACTATTAGCTGTTTGATTTGATTAAACATTCAATAGACGTGCTTGATTAATTAGCTTTTTATAACACCTTAGCTTATTGCTTCCAAATACTAAAATTCAAAAAGCTGTTCAAAACAATTTTTTTGATAAACTTTTTAATAAAGTGATTTTGCATGTAATCAATTATCAGCTAATACTAATATACCAAACATCTTCCTACAATCAACTAATACTATCAACTACTTAAACTCACTAACACAATCAGCTAATAGCTAAACTATTTATCACCCACCCCAAAATTCTCAAAAGTGTGGCGTAATTCTTTAATATTTAGAACAAAAACCACAAATTTGTTCTCAACCGACGAAGATTGCGGTGGTGACCAACTGAGTGTCTGAGTACTCACCAATCAACCTAGGGAGTGGTGAGAAAGGACGCAAGGGTCAAAACAGATGCTTTTCGAATTTCGTCGCATTAACAACATGCAAAAACAATGATTGGTTCAACCAAAGAAAAAGGTGATTTATTTCCACACGTATGCTCCAACGTAACCACAACCAGAGTTGTATCTAAGGCGAAATATATGTCAAATTATTCAAATTTGATTTGTTTATTATTGAGTATTTGACTTGTGTTCAAGTTCGAATAATTTGAATAACAAATTCATTTAAATTTAATATTTTTTTGGGTGATGAGATCGCTCATAATAACCACTATTTGAGAATGTGTGTTGGATAAACCCACCTTCGACCCTAGTCGGTAAAGGATCACAAAGAGATAAATCATCTAGGCTGCCTATAACTAAGCGGCATAAACTTTGAAGATCAATAAGTCGTTTTCATTAGGAGTCAAACTTAGAACCTTATAATTATTAAGCTAATAGTTCAACCACATTGACTGGCAATTATTATACCATGGTCCATGGTTCATCTTACAAGGTGAACTATTGACATAAGATCCATTTTTAATTACTGAATATTTATTTTAATACATTGAATATTCATCTTTTGTGTACTAAATATTCATTATTGGTATATTCCATAAAAATGAAATTTCAATAAATTAAAATAAATATTTAGTATAATAAAAATAAACATGCATTCTTGGTCTACAGTATAATTTGCCCTTGGGCAGGGGTTGCCCCTCTAATAAATATTTTATCATGCTATTTGGTAGCAAAATGCTTATTATAAAAAAAAAATAGAAAGAAATTTTTATTCAATCTATTTGAGTCAAGCTTAACCGTTTAAGTTAAAAAAAAAAAAAAAAAAAAAAAAAAAAAAAAAAAAATTAGTTAGGAGTCAATCAAGTTCGAGCTTCAAATTTTATTCACTCCTAATTGTATCATATTCTTTTCTTAATTTATTAGTTTTTTTTTTAAATATAATTTATTAGTTTAAAAGTGCTTAAAATTTTAAATCTCTTTTTATTTTATCTACATTAAATTAATACACGTCACATGGTATACATTTCATTATTCTTCATGGGGTGGTGGCGCAGTTGGCTAGCGCGTAGGTCTCATAGCTTCTGAGGGTATACATTTCATTATTGAGTTAATACCCAAAATCGTCCTCGACTATAGTGGTTTTTCTCAATTTCGTCCTAAACGACTTTGGTGACCTAATATCGTCCCAGACTTTTGTGTTTCACTCAATTTAGTTCCAGATTTTTGTGTTTTTGCTCAATTTAGTCCCTCATTTGTTATTCTGTCCATTTGGTGTTAAATAAATAGACAATTCAGTAATTTTAATATTGGAATCTCTTTACTCATAGACATGTGAACTGCGAAATCCCTTTTTTTTTTTTACGAATTACTCCCAGAATTACTCCTAAAACTGTGAATATAAAATTTGATTTGCAGGTCGGGGAGTAATTCTGGGTGTAATTCGTACAAGAAAGAGGAATTTCGCACTTCACAAGTTGAAAGTAAAGAGAGATCAATATTGACATTACTGAATTATCCCTTTATTTAACACCAATTTGATGGAATAACAAATGGAGGACTAAATTGAGCGAAACACAAAAGTCTGGGACGATATTAGGTCACCAAAATCGTTTAGGACGAAATTAAGAAAAACCACTATAGTCGAGGACGATTTTGGGTATTAAACCTTTCATTATTAGTAATAGTATTTGTGGTCAAAGGGAAAACGCACACATTGTATTGTATTCTGATTTCTGTGGGAATAGATCGGAGTAAGGAATATATCTCATCTGGATGTCTGCACGCGTAATCGGACATACGACTATGTTTTTTTCCTTATCCGTACAAGTACACCATATTTTCGTATTACTTTGTCGGACACATTTTTTATGTCCTTTCGAGGTAGGGGGAAAAAAAATAAGGTCACACCCGTCTCTCTCGGATCTTTATTCGTGAGACGAGTTGTATCAACTTTATTTATGAGACGAGTTGTATCAAATCGAGTTAATATAAAAATATAATAATACTTATATTAAAAAATATAATACTAATTAGGAATAAAGTGTTTTTTTTTTTTGAGTAAATATCACTTTTGGTCCCTTGATTATCATAGCTGAAGCATTTTTGGTTATTGACTATTACTCTTTTCAAATTAGGTGCATGATTTTCTAATTAGTATTACTTTTGGTCATTCGGTCCAATTTTCCGCCACATATTACCGGAATTCCAATCGGACAAATATTGTGTTGTAATTAGAAAGGTTTTTTGATCCTTTCAAATTTATTTCATTTTCCTCTTTTATTTTTTTCTGCTTCCCGCTTTCTTCCTCAACTCTCCCGCTTTAAAAGAGGAAAATAAAATAAATTTGAAAGGACCAAAATACCCTTCTAATTATAACATATTATTTTTCTGGTTGGAATTCCGGTAATATGTGGTCGAAAAATTGAATCAGATGACCAAAAGTGATACTAATTAGAAAGTCATGCACCTATTTTGAGAAAAGCAATAAGTCTTGAAGTTAATGAATTAGAAAGAAGAAGTAATTAAGGAAGTCAAGGACCAAAAATGCTTCAGCTATGATAGTCAAGGGACCAAGAGTGATATTTACTTTACTTTTTTTTTTTTTTTTTTTTTTAGGGAAAAGTATTTGTTATCACTTATAAGGGATATTGTAATACTTTTGAGGATAAATGTAATACTTTTATGTTTTAATGTAAAAGTATTACATTTTCATATATAAGTAATAATCATTTTATTCCTGATTTAGTAATACATTCGCTAGTATATACATATTACATTTCATCTTGACTCAACTCGTCTTACGGATCCTCACATAAGTTTTTGTTAAAAAAATTGATATTTTTAATTTCACTTAGTGAACTTTAATAAACTTAATATGTCCATTGTATAAAGTGATTTATTATTATTATTATTATTATTATTATTATTATTATTATTATTATTATTATTATTTTATTTTATTTTATTTTATTTTATTTTTTTACATACGATCTAACCTAATTAAAGTATTTGCTCAACATGAGTAATATCCTTGACCTTTGGTTTGAAATGGTAATAGTAATGACATCAGATGAGAAGGTATTACTTACTATTCTTTGAATGATAGCAAAATTGGAGCGAAAAGATGACATCAATGATTTGTAGAAGGGGTTAATTTCATGTTGTGATTTTTTATGTTTTTTATTTAAATACCCAATGGTTAGATTTGATTTCAAATTATTATTATTTCTATTATTATATTATATACTTTTTTTTATTAGATCACGAGGCGTTCTAAGCGCACATTAATTGTATGAGACACCTTTAAGCTCGTACCGTATATTCAAATTAATCTCTGTTCACACCGCACCGGCCCAAATAAAGGACAAAGTGATGGTCATATTGATTTTTTCATATGAGAGAGGATTTGAACTCCCAACTTTTCTTAATGGATGAGAGTGTACGACTACTCATACCAACCAAGTTGGTTAATATATTATTTAATAATTATCATCCTTGTATAACTTAATGCATGATTAGTGCAATATTTAATTATTATTTTTAACGTAACCTATGGGTGT